GAGACGAGCCTCCCCGCCCGGCGGCTGCGATCGCCGGCCTCGGGGAGGGCAGCCCTCGTCCCGCCTGCTGCGCGGCGCAGGCTGCCTGGGGCCTGGGCTGACACAGCACCTGCATGGCCGACAGCGCTGGCGTCGATGGGGGGGCTCATGCAGGGGCCCGCTCCAGTCGCCTGTCGTCAGAGCACCTCACCAAGAGCTCAGGTGTTTTTTCTAACAAACACATGGCAGGGCACTGCCGTGCTAGGAAGCAACTGAATGAACAGCCATCACCGGAACTGGGCACGCGCGTCACATCGCCTTACAGCCAAACCACGGGGCTGGTGACTGAGAAGGCGAGTTGGGATGGTTGGGCAGCTACAGAACAACATCAGAAGGAACACGAAAGCCTCTATAAAAGGAACCAAACCAGAAATGGTTATGTGTTGCTACCAGCTGTCATAAGCATGCCTCACAACTTGGTGTGTGTTAGAGGTTTTTAACCAGGAGAGCTGGGAAAGGTGAGAGCTAAGTTAGAAGCAGTATGTGCAGCTGGCAGTTGATCCCAGCGTTCAGTAAAGCACCTACTATTTGCCTGTAGCTTTTGAAGTAAAGCGTTAGCATACAACACAAAGAAACAAAAAGATGAAAGACCTGTGTTTGCCTATAACTAGTCAAAAGCCAAGATGGTTTCCAGTGAAACTGCAAGAAAGCAGCAGTAAAGCTCAGTTTAAGACACACAAGTAGTCTGTGGAACCAACTGCCATGACCTGTGTGATTCCATACTCTGTGCTAGAAAAAATGCAGTAAGTAGACTAGAGAGTGAAGTATGCTGTGCACAAAATCCCTGGTATGTGTAAGGCAGCCTCCACTGCTTCGGGTTACTGTAGGCTTCCACACAGCCCCTCCACCCCACTCGCATACCTGGAGGAGATAACGAATCTGCTGCTTTGTTGCCTCAGACAGTCCTTTGGGAATTAAATCTTCAATATCTTCAGTCTACGCAAAGAAGGGAGGAAAGGGGAGACATCTTCATTAAGGATTTTGCCTGGTAGATCATAATGTGGTTTCTTCACTAATTACACAGGTCTGCTATGAAAAGCATGTCTAGTACAAGGCAAGAATGAAAATAGATCAAAGTGTATCCAGAAAATATCCAAAGTCTTATATCTGTGTGGCATATGAAAACTGAGATGAAGCGATACATGAAGCGTATACTCAAATCACTGAGTTGAACATTGATTTTAAAAGCAGTATTCAAAACAATCCTCTCTCACAGGAACAGCTGGTGCTAAAACAGAGCTCCCAGCACTTCACAGCAGGAGCTGATCTCGTTTCTACACAAAGAGCAGACTGTCAGTAAACTGCAGGTGAGCAGTGTGGCACAGGAGATGCTGCCAGTGATTATCATAGAATCATAGAAAGTTTTGGGTCGGAAGGGACCCCTAGAGGTCATCTAGTCCAACCCCCCCGCAGCCAGCAGGGACACCGCTAACTAGATGAGGTTGCTCAGAGCCCTGTCCAACCTGGTCTTGAATGTTTCCAGGGATGGGGCCTCCACTACTTCTCTGGGCAACCCGTTCCAGTGTTTCACCACCCTCATTGTAAAGAATTTCTTCCTTATATCCAGCCTAAACCTACACTGTTTTAGTTTAAAACCATTACCCCTCGTCCTGTCACTGCTGTCTCTACTAAAAAGATTGTCCCCATCTTTCCTATGGGCTCCCTTTAAGTACTGAAAGGCTGCAATCAGGTCTCCCCGCAGCCTTCTTATGTGGCAGCGCTTCACGTAATTTAATCCTAGACAAATATTCCTGCCATATACACAACGCCTTTAAAAATAACAGAGGCGCTGATGTTTCTGTCATGGCCCAAACCACCAAAGTGAGCTTTCTGCAGACGCAGGAAGTCTGCTCTGCCAGCCCCGGTTCCTCTCACTTCTGGGAGAGGCCGTGTTCGCCCCTTCCCGCAGTGCCTGGCAGCACGTGTTGCCGAACAGCAGCTTTACTGGCAAGAGGGGGGAACATCCTTCATAGAAAATGCATCATGATACACCACGTAGCTGTGTAAGTTTGTTTTACAGTGAAGCCACTATCGGCACAACAGGAAAGACTTTCAAAATTTGCCTCTCATACTGGAATAATGCAAATTATTAAAGTTTCCTTTCAGTATTGTCGCATTTGCAAATACATGCCTAGCAGTAGGTTTCAGGCTCTGAATGTCAGCAGCAAGCAGGAATCATCGGCTAACAAAGACCAGCATCCTTCGTTTAAACTGGCTTGGCTCAGTTTGGTGCGGACCCACACCACTGCTCTGCACGTCAGGGAGCAGCTTGCTAAGAGCACGCCGGATGCTTACCTGACACGTAAATTCAATGTCATGGCTCCTGTAAGACAGACAAAACCCAAAGGACTGGTTAGCAGAAAGCTTCCTGAGAATTTTAAGAATTCAAGCCCACATTCACCACTACAAAAAGATTGTCCTTAAAATACAGAGTAAGGAAGGTTCTTTGTCAGAGTAAGAGCTGTTACCTTCCTTTCAAGGTGCCAGGCAACATGAGCTGTTAAATACGACTGCCTGCAGAGGTACCTGAGGAGACTGTTAGGGTTAACCCACCCCATCGGGTTCGGTTAACCCAGTCACGTTCGTAAGGGGCTGGGTGATGGTTTACCCACAACTACGCTGCAACGTATCGACATGCCCGAAGCGTTTACTTAGGCTTTTTGTGATGCTCAAATTCCACTTTCCCACTGCTACGGAGCCACCCTTGTCGTTTCAGTGAACTCGGGAAGCACCAAATGAGACTGGGAGCGAGGGGGCAGAACGAAGCAGGGGGCTGGCGAGGGAGGGGTAGGAACACTGAAGACTGGGATTGCTGGCTGCCGCGGCGCTGCGCTTCTTTCAAAGACAACCTGCAGGGCTCTGCAGAACGCGTGCGTGGCATTGAGCTTTATGCCTTCGGGCGTCCACCTTTTAATCCATGACGTAACACCACGACAGAACAAAGGAAATGGCAATTTGCACATTTGGGTTGTTTCTTCAGCACATAGTAATAGAATTGTGTCATTAAATATATGTCAGAGCACGCTGTAAGTATACTCATCTGCTCTACGTGCAAACAGGTGGGGGGTACGTAATTCTTACTGCATGTCAGTCGAAACAATTTGAAAAAAGCATCGGATTCACTGAATTTACTTGGCTTACAGCATTTTCGTCCTCAGTTACTCAGCAAATTGGATCAATTTGTAAAATACGCAGTCAATTCTAGTTTCCAGGGGAAAGAAAAAATCACCAACTTGTGAACAATACTGTCCTCTTAACTGCACAGGGCTAGGATTTCTGGAATACCGAAACGACAGAAGAGATACGGTGCCAATACCTTCCTCCTATCTTTTCCACGTGCTGTAACAAACAACTGTACAAATCGTTGGTCTTGCGGTTCAG